TGACGCAAGTTAGAATAATGACATTTGATTTTCATCTCTGATTCCCATCTCCCTATTGGGGGTGGCCGAGGGCTTAGATTCCTGTTCATTTGACATGCAGAATGATTCTTTGAATATTTCTCCATCTATAATTTCTGGAGTTTTAAAACTCTGCTGATATTTGTATGACCAGTGTTTGTTGGCATAAAGTGAGCAATTTAGTCGAAATACTTGTTCTTCTTTTGCTGCCTCAATTGCATATTTTAATTTTTTTAAAGAGCTGTAGAATTAGAGAGCTGAAGGGGGAGAGTTGTATAGTGTTTCAGGCATCAGGCTAGAAATGGTGAGGCCATGAGTTCTAATCCAACCTTGGACACAAAGCCAGCTGGATGACCTTTGGGACACCATTGGACAATCATTTTTTCTCAGCCCTAGGACAAACTGAAAGTCCTGCCAAGAAAACAGCAGGGACAAATTCAGTCAATTACCAGGAGTCAATACTGACTTGAGGGCATAAATATATTAAAAAATTAAAAAGAATTAATTTAGGAAAGTTACTGCTGCTCTGGGCAATTATATATGTGGAATATGACACCCTCAGATGTTATGCTTCTTCATTTGATCTCCATTGTAGAAAAAGAATTCTCGCCTACTGACCATATTTTCATGACATAGTGCAGAACAAGGCAATCAAGTTTTAGCCTAACATCTTTTGCTAACTCAGAAAATTAAGGAAATGTGTGGTTTAGTTAACCATGGAAAAGCATGAGCAAAAATAGCCAACCTAAAAACTACAAACCCTGATCAGTGCAATATTGTTAAATATCCTGCTCCAAAATCAGCAATTAAACACAGGTTGTCTAAGAAGATTTCAAATAGGCTTAATGCCACCTAACTGCTAAATATTATTAATAATGTTGTTATTAGGGGCCTTTCAGTATGAATGAAAAGGTCAGTGGGAATTCTCTGAAGGAGGATTTCTTCTGAGAACCATTGTTTATGCAAACTGGGAACATCACTCTTCCCAAACAAGGCAAAGATGTCTAGACTTGGTAGTTTTTATGCCAGCCCATAATCTTCTAATTAGCAGGCTTAATTGTTTAATAGCCATTTAAATGTTTTGTGTTTCCAATGCTTTGAGATAGATGGATGGATAGATAAATAGATCACCTTGTATTTGTATATATGCATTCTTTTTCCTCAAGTGAAAAGCTTTATTCATTTTCATTCAATTAGTATTTTGTTTTTATTTTCTGAATATTGTTTTTCTGGGCATCTCTAGGAAGCTGACCTTTTCTTGTTCTGTTTTGTTTTCTTTACCTAGGGACGTTATTTGTCATAGCTTGTAATTAAGACAAAATCAGCCCATTTCTCAAATAGGAAGGAACTATGCATGAATAATCCATGTGTGTGTGATTATGCATGGATGTGTTTATGTGTGTGTGTGTGTGTTTTCTTTAACTAAAACTGCACAGGAAGGTTGTTTCTCAGTCATCTGATAGATCTTTCCCAACAATGCCATATCACCATCATTGTCAGCCATTCAGTTGTGTCCAACTTTTGGCCACTCTATGAATCAGCACTATCTCTATGCCCCTCTGTCTCACAGCTTCCTTCAGAACAGCCATAATTATCCTGCTGTCATCCTTTGTAGGTAGTGCCACAGCTGAGCCCAGATTTATGCTGCTAAATGAAAAATCTATTAGTAAGTTTTGTCCCATTTTATGACTTGTCTTGCCATGTTTCTTAAGTGAATCTCTGCAGTTGTTAAATTAGTAACATGATATTAGGTGAATCTGACTTTCCCATGGACTTTGCTTGCCAGAAGGTCACACAAGGGGATGAACCTTGGACACTGCAGCTGCCATAAATATGAAGCATTTGTCGAGTATTCAAATGTAAATCACATGACCATGGGGATGCTGCAGTGGTCATAAGTGTGAAAAATAGCAATAGCAACAGCACTTAGACTTAAATACCACTTTACAGTGCTTTATAGCCCTCTCTAAGCAGTTTACAGAATCCGAATAGTTGCCCCCAACAATCTGGATCCTCATTTTACCCACCTTGGAAGGACGGAAGGCTAAGTCAACCTTGAGCCTGGTGAGATTTGACCTGCTAAATTGCAGGCAGCTGGCAATCAGCAGAAGTAGCCTGCAGTACTGCACTCTAACCACTGCGCCACCATGGCTCATGAAAAATGGTCATAAAACTTACCTCCTTTTTCTTGCTGATTGACTTTTCAGGTGAGTCAGTTTTTGTGATGTGACCAAAGTAGGACAGCAATCTTGGCAATCTTTGGCCATCTTGACTTCAAGTGATATTTTTTGGTGATATGTGGAGTAGATGTTTGCAAATCAGTGCTGCATTTCACTTCTGGACTGTTGCCATCATCCTCAATTGCATTCTAGGAAAAGAATTAAATCCTTGATTTAAGAAATTTCTGAAGTGTGCTGTAGGCATAACCCTGATGCTTTCAAGCATCTTCAGATCTGAAGCTTTGCACAATCTCCATATGTACTTGTTTAAGCAATAGCTATAAGGTATATAGTGTTGTATAAATAACATGCAGCTGCTGATATTAATAAACACTTGATAAATTGAGGGACACACGAATAACATAATAACCTTGATGCACCAAGGACTTTGCCTGCAGATATATTTTGAAGGAATTTAATGGGAGTGAACACCTAGTGATAAATTTACCATTACCAATTCTCCTTTTTTTTTGTCTTCCATGGATTCTTCTTGGGAATCCAATAATCTATCTGATAAAATGAACTGCACTTCGTAACCACTTATGTTGGAGTAAATCTGTTAGCCATTAAGGTTTGGCTAGTTGTTAAAAATTTGATCATTTTTAGCCTTCTCAAACGATGGCTTTGATTGATCAACTTTTTAAAAATAGTCCCTTTTCTATAGCGGCTTATAAAAATGTAAAATGTTTAGTCTCATCTTACAAGGTATACCTTCCAAGCAGAGTGACTCTCTTCCAAAGTGATTTTGACATGATAATCACTTAAACATCGAAGTATCTCTTTTTTAAAAGAAAAAAAAATAGAATTTTGTTTTGTGGGCAAAATTTCTTAAAATTATTATTCTAGCAAACTGTATACAATAAGGAGACTTGCTATATCAAAGAGCTAAATCTTCAGGGGTGTTTACTTAAAGAAGGCATGTACAGGATTGCAATGTCACTCAGCTAAGGCTTTAGCCTTATATCAATTTAACCTGAAAGTTTTTCAAATGAAGTGGCGTCTATTTAGTAAATGTGTGTTTTATTACCTAGTGAGAGGGAAATGCGAGAAGTGATGTTAATTAGATTGGCTACAACAATTATTTGTATCAATGCCGAAAATGACTGAAAAACAGGGTATAATGTGATATGCAATTCATACATAAAAGCATGTTGCGAAGATTTCTTTACTGAGTCTTTTTTTATCTGTTACCCCAATTTTTTTTTAACAAAACGACTGAATCTAAACTGATTCCCGGACCAATTTTAACTCTCTCAGTGTTAAATGGATTTATTAACTTAATTTGGGGGAAAAAAACACCTTAGGTAAACATAGCTTATCAGGTACTTCGGAGCCAAGGACCTGGTGGCACGAGGAAACAACAACCAATGACAATTGCTAGCCATCAATACACCAATCAACAACTAAAAAGCCACACACAACCAGGCACCATATAATATCATACAGAAAATAGCTCAAAGCACACATTCTGGTAGAGAGAAGTTCTCTGAGGATGGGCTCCAGCATGAATCTGAAAGCTCAGAAGACTAGATCTTTGGTCCTGGTGACTGACCCAGATTGGATCTTGCAACATTATCCTGGAACATGTATATTTGCTTTCATTTGTTAAAAAAAATAAAGAACACCCACTCTTTCAAATTGCTTCCATTCCAGATATTTTCCTTTCGTTGTACTTTCATAAGAATGCATGGTGGGTGTATGTCTCTTAGCCAGTAATAGGTATATTCCTGTTTGGAAATCATATTCGGTAGATTTAGCTATTTTCTCATATCGGAATGGAAATAGTTTGAAAATAGTTTCCATTCCGACAAGCTCATTTCCAAAACATAGACAGACTCCATTGCATGGTCAATGAAATGTCGGGGAGATAGTGAGATTGTAACACCTCCCCACTATGAAATTGTGTTTCACAGTCTGCCAGCTTTTCTCCATCTGCTTTCATGGTGGTGGCAATTGTAATAAGGAAATCGCATCTGAATTGCTAGTGTTTCTTTACCCTTGGAATGCTAATTCCTGCATGATGGAACTATTGTAAACCCAGGAAATGTTGTGTTGCCATTGTCCTTGGAATATGTTTTTGACCTAAAATGCAACCCCACCTCTTCCCACGCCCCCAACCAAAAAAGAAAAATTCTAATTTGTTTCTGGAAGAAATAGATAGCATTGATTTCAGTGCATACATGTTTCTTTTAATGCAACAATAATGTCGATAAATATTATATATAAGCAAATTCATATTCTCGGTTTGTCTGAAGCATAATCGTCTACTGCAAAATAAATAAATGGGGAGGGAGAAGATTTTGAAAGAGAACCATCAGTCAAATGGTGGAAAAAACATGAGATAAGGCACCCACCCAGCCTTTCCTTAAGTAAAGATATACCTTGCAAAGCTTCTGAAGGCCAGCAGCAGTTAACAAGGTGAAATGTTCTAAACTCCTGCTGCTTTCTCAAGGATTATGGATTTTTTTTATGGGTGAACAATTCACATTTTGTCCCAGAGGAGGTTTTTCAAAAGGCAACTGAACTGAAGAAGCTTCTTGGATGAGAAGTGAAATGTCTTCAAGGAAAAATAAAGTCCAGTTGTCTTTGGGAAGAAGCAACTTTGGGTCAATCCTTACCTGGGTGACTGAGAATCTCCATAAACTCACATTTGACAAGTTAGGAACCTGTTCTAGGGTGAATAAGAAGAACGAACTGCCAACTGTTGTTTGTGTTAACATTAATTCATGCTTTCCTCCTCTCCTGCCCCTTGTCCTTTTGCAGATGTCCAGCATATTAAGAGAAGAGACATCATCCTTAAAAGAGAACTGGGTGAAGGTGCTTTTGGGAAGGTGTTCCTGGCTGAATGCTACAATCTCAGTCCCACCAAGGACAAGATGCTAGTAGCTGTGAAGGTAAAAGATGAAGGCAAACATCTACACTTAGCTGCCAAATACAGCAGCTTTTCTATATTCTTGCTCTGGTTATCTTTGAAGTTAAACTAGCAGCATCATAATCATCAGATAAACTGCAGAATGTTTTCTGACAAGGGTAGACCACTTGGTGGTGCTAGGCCGAGGAACTCTGTATTTATTCCTAGCAATTCTCATTCAAGTTGATAAAAGGAATTTGCTTTTCAAAAACAAGAGGATTTCAGGGAAATGAATGGAATGTTGTGTCCTTCAACTTAATGACCTGATGGGTACCTGGATCTTGCATTTCACTTTATATATTTTTTTTCATTTGTTTGGTAGCTTCTTAACTTCAAATATTCCATTAAATGAAAACATAAAAAGGAAATTGTTCCTTGGGTTTTTCAGGGGTAATGCTACTATTACTACTGGGGAAAAGTACTTCTCTCGATAAGCGGTTGGAGAATTATTCTTTCCCTTGGAGGGTGGATAAAAAGGGAGAAATCACCTATCCAATTTCTTTGCCAAAAAAGTCAACAGAAGTTTCCCAATGGCCTTTGGTACCCAGCTCTGTTTAATTTAAGTGCATGTCATCCATCACTCATCAGTTTTGATGGCATTGAATAAAACAGTAAGGTTCAGCCCAGCCCTTCAGCCAAATCAACTTGTTTAATTCATTGGGGAGAATGAATTACCCAAGACACTGGGAACTTTTTGGATCACACAATTGCTACATCCCTACATCAATCTTAAGCCATGCTTTGATTTAATAATGAGTTGTCAAACAAGTCATAGTAGCCTGGGACATCATACCTTGATCCAGTGTAATCACTGATTTTGCAAATCGGATGAATTTTAAAAACACAGTCTTCCAACTTAGCAGAGGGTATGGCCATGATATAATGAAGTAATTAGATATGGTAGGATAGAAAACTCTCTTAAACCAATATTGAGGTCTTAAGCCCAATGGAAGGTTAACACTTTTATTTCAACCCTCATTCAAATAATTACTGATTTATCACTGCATGTCAGAGGCATGAATATGAACAGTTTACATGGCTCCAGAAATGTGAATGAGAGTCATGTCTTCAATGATGTCACACCAAATCAAAATCAAATAAACTATTTTATAGCTTAGTACATGTGTGAAACCAACCACTATGACTTTGACTTAAAACGAAAGGGCTCATGAATGCTGGCTAACTGTTCCTGCTTGAAGGAAGAAGTAAATACAGGTTAGCTGGATATCAGATGAAAAACCTTTGGGTAGCTTTCTAAAGTCCAACATTTGAAAATATAGATCAGACGTTGTGCCAAATCACCCACAAAGGATTCATGAAATGATCTCCTGACCATACCTCAGCCTTTCTCCATGTCAAGCTAAGTACAGGTAGTCCTCAACTTACAACTTTAATTGAGCCAAGAATTTCTGTTGCTAACCAAGATGGGTGTTGTGAATTTTGCCCCATTTTACAACCCTTCTTGCCACAGTTGTTAAGTAAATTGCTGCAGTTGTTATGTTAGTAACATGGTTGTTAAGTGAATCTGGCTTCCCCATTGACTTTGCTTGTCAGAAGATTGCAAAAGGGGATCACATGACCCCAGGATACCACAATCGTCATAAGTATGAACCACTTGTCAAGCATCTGAATTTTGATCACAAGGTGCCATGGGGATGCTACAACAGTCACAGGTTGTAAGTCACTTTTCCTCAGTGCCATTATAACTTTGAACAGTCACTAAATGAACTGTTGCCAAGTCAAGGACTACCTGCAGAGAAGTCTATCATATCACAATGTTGAGTTAGAGCCAATGAATTGAATAACAATTCCACATTAGCATGATTTCAAACAAAGCAAATATTTTCAATAAACGACTTGGGAGGTTTTGTCCTCCCAAGAACAAAGAAGAACAACTAAGATGATTAAGAGCCTGAAGGCAAAAATCACATGAAGAATGGTTGCAGGAATTGGTTAGTCTAGGGAAAAGAAGGACTGGGGTGACATGATATCAGTATTCCAGTATTTGAGGAGCTGCCACAAAGAGGAAGGAGTCAACTTATTTACCAAAGGCAGGACAAGAAACAATGGATGGAAACTAATCAAGGAGAGAAGCAACCTGGAATTGAGGAGAAACTTCCTAACAGTGAGAACAATTAACCACTGGAACAGCTTGCCGTCTAGGGGCTTCATCACTTTTTAAAGAAAAGACTGGATAGATATCTATCTGAAATGTTATAGAGTCTTCTGTTTGAGCAGGGGGTTGGACTGGAAGACTCCAAGATTCCTTCCAACTCTATTCTGATTGACTGAGAGTAAGCTTTTTTTTCTTAAAGCAAATGGTTTTAATCTAACTCTAGTAGTAGAAAATATATCTATTTGTCTGGATGGGTTGAAAATAAAGTAGATTGGCAAAATAATAGAGTTCTGTTGCTCTCAGGGCTTCATGTTAACATCAGAAAGATAGCAGAGAGCTAAAAATAATCAAGAGCCTAGAATGAAGACAGGTGTTTTTTCGGTCTCTACAGCATACATTCATCTATCTAAATATTTTTGGTCAGCTTCTTCACTGATAGAAGGAAAAAAAATTGAAATGAAATGAAGAGATGGTGGTAAAATGTAAGATATGAAATCTGTTTTTTGTTTATTTTTTCTGTTTTGGAAGAAAGAAAAACAAGTTTTAACAGCAGTTTCTTAGCATGGCATGATAAATTTTGGGAAAGGATGACACTTAGATGTAACTGAATTTTCTTTTGGATCCCTCCACAATGGATCAAGATTTTTAAGAAACTATAAATAAATTGACTGAACTGGAAAAATCCTCCAGCTCAAACTTAAAAACACTTTGTGAAGCTCCCTCCAAGTTGTATTCCTATAGCAAATATCTGTAGAGTTTTTTTAAAAAAATGAATGAAAAAGGCTATTTCTTCTCTTAATTGGTCACTCTAATATTGATATCAAATATTATTGCTATTATTACTAGCTCTTGGTTTACTTCTTTGTTTTTTCAGCCCAAAATGAATCCCTGTGGCAGATTATATTATGACAAATATGCAACTGAACCTCTTTTAAAGCAATGGAAACATATTTTGATGGAGTTAAAAAAGATAGTCAAACCAACACTAACTAAAGTCCTGAAGAATATGACCTTAAATACTTAAAATGTTTATAGATCCTACAGAACAAAAACATCAAAATGATTGCAATCTAGATACCAACATGATATATTTAAAGTGGATGATCCACATTTTTAGCTCAACTCAGCAATAAACCACTCAGAGAAAATGCTCAGACTTGCATTATAATCTGTGCCCTTGGTTACTTTTTATGAAATAAATATGCTTTTATGGGTTTCCAAAAGCCAGGAGAAGCAAAAAACATGATGAGCTTTCTTGAGCACAGATTTTTATCACAAAGAAAAAGACTAGGGGTAACATGATAGCAGTCCTCCAGTACTTGACATGCTGTCACAGAGAAGAAAGGGTCAACCTATTCTCCAAAACATCTGAGGGTTTTGGACCAGAAGCAATGGATGGAAGATCATTAAAGAGAGATCCAACTTGGAGAAATTTCCTGACAGTGAGAACAATTAATCAGTAGAACAACTTCCCTCTGTGAAAGTTATGTGTGTGTGCTTCATCACTGGAGGTTTTCAAGAAGGGACTGGACAGCCATTTGTTGGGGCTAGAAAACCTTCCACTCTATTATTCTACATTCTACATAGGGGAGAAGTAACCCATTTTCCATATTTTAAAAAGAAGTAAAAATTCTATTTCAATGAATTCATTTGGAATCGTTGCAATATGTCAATGGTTGCCCTGATGGGCAGGAAACAATCCCAAAGCAACCATTTATTGGAAAGCCAATTCCTGAGATTTCTCCCTGCAAAATACATTTTCGGTATACTCCTAGAGGATTCCCTACAATGGCAATTGCCATTAGCAGTGTTCCAATATCAAAGAAGAGGGGGTCAATCTATTCTCCAGAGCACCCGAAAGATGGGCAAGAAGCAATAGAAGGAAACTAATGAAGGAGAGAACCAACCTAGAATTAAGGAGAAATTTCCTGACCATTAGGACAATTAATCGTTGGAATGACTTGCCTCCAGAAGTTGCGGGTGCTCTATCACTGGAGGCTTTTAAGAAGAGATTGGACAACCACTTGTCTGAAATGGTATGGGGTCTCCTGCTTGAGCAGGGGGCTGGACTAGAAGGCCTCCTAGGTCCCATCCAACTCTTACTCTGTTATTACTGAACAAATAGATACACACTGATATTAAGCAAAGCAGTGATCTTCAGTCCATGGCCGTAAGGTCAATGGAGGACTCAGAGTAAGTCTTGTCAGCCACAAAACTTGAACCTGATGCTTTTGTTTGTAGGACTCAAACTGACTTTTTAAAATAAAAAATAAAGAGGAGATGGAAACCAAGCAGGTAGCTTTTAAGGAGCTCATAGATTCCTTGGTATAAACATGCCTCTCATTGCCTGCCCATGAGCCAAGCCACAGGAATCTGAAGGTATCCAATTTGTGTTGAGCTCTGTTGGATTCCTTTAGCTTATCAGAAGAGTTGTGAGGGAACAGGTATTCTTTTAAGCTCCCTGAATCTGTGACATTGATGATTCAAAAGGTTTGAATCAGTTGGAGACATACCATTTGAAATTGCAGATGAAAACTCATCTGAGTGAATTTTTCCATATTTAAACAAGAGCATACCAAAGACAGAAATACAGGAAATCAAGGACAATTTGTTTTGCCCCCCCCATCCTCTCTTAAACTGTACAGATGATATTTTGTTATAAAACAACAACGTGCCTTTGATTTAATATTCAATAGCTCCAATTCTGGTTCAATGACTGACATCTGTTATGCATATTCTATGGAGAATAAAAATGCTAAATAAATATAATTATCTACTCCCAGTTTATTGGGTAGGGGTGATAAAATCTGAAAAGCCTTGCCTGTGGATCACAAAATAGGTCTGGAGTCCTAATTTTGACTTTAGCATTCATAACTAATTTTGAGAACAAATTGTTTCATCTTTAGTTCAAAACCCCCATGAGGAAATACAGAGAATTCAGGCACACCGGCCCCATAAACAATTCTATACATGTACTAGACAAAATTACCTAATCATAGCGAACCAGAATTTGGTTGAGAAGCCACTTTCAATACAAATGGGAGATTGATTCTCCCAGGAAATTATTATGAAGCACAAAGAATGGAAACAAGGTTTTGGAAATGATGAAGGGTGAAATGCCTTGCTTTTATTAGTGCAGTTTTTTTCAAGTATCCACAATTTCCTCCCACCCATACAAAAAACCTTTATGGTGAGCACATCCATCTTCAGAATAAAGGCAGTTTCTTCAAAATAAAAGGATGCACTAGTACAGAAGAACCATAATAATGAGATATGGAGTCTTTGCCTTTAAGGTCATAAGATTGGGATTCATACTGGGCGAGAAATAAGTGGAAGCTATTACCTTTGAGGTTATTTACTCTACTGCTCTCTCCCTCTCCCTCTCCCTCCCTCCCTCTCTCTCTCCCCCCCCCCCCCCCAGTTGCAAAACAGACAAACAAACAAAAGTCAAGGAAAATTTCAAGTGTGATGAGTTAAGAGATGGTATCCAGAGAAATTCTTCCATAATTGCTGGCATTATTTGCGTTTCTATAAAGCATGAATCCCAGAACCCCCTATTTTTCCTCAACCTCTCCTCAACTTAGGCACTAGTTTTATTAGACATATTGTCTAAGATGCCATTAGCACTCTGATTCTACTGTACATATGAAAAATAGAAGGGAATATGTGTAGCTCAGGGTTGAATTGTGGGGTGGTTGGTGGTCTCTCACCTTGGCTGTTTTCTTGCAGGTATTTCATCAGTGCACTGATGATGTTAGCTAGTTGGGTAATAAAGCATCTGCAAGAAAGCAACCAAGCTCATAAGACACCAACAGCCCCATCAATGTGAAAAACCAGAGAAATTCCATTGTTTTTCCCTAGTAGATTTCCTAGTAGATATCATAAAAGATGACTCAAAGATGGATCTTAGAGAGTTCCTCCTTAACACTTGCTCCAGGTTATTGCTTTTTTTAAAGGATAAAAAACTTGATCCCAATCTTGAGAGATACAAGAATCAATCCAATTGAAAAACTTCATTCTCTGATCACGTTATCTTGTGTTCCCTCACAATTTCTTGAGTACATTGCCCGAGAACACATGTGTCCCAAATGTCATGTAAATTGCATGTCATCCATGCGAAGAAATCATGTACCACACCCTGCTTAAGGCAGGGATGGAGTAACTGCATCTTGCTTATGGCATGTTGCACAGGATGCTACATCTCGTTTTTGGTCTCTCCCTTGCTGCTAAACTTAAGCAGCAAAATGATGCAGTTTTGGCTGCCCGATTGCAAACTCTTTGGGGGGAAAGGATTAAAGTTGGGGATGGAAGTGACTTGCCTCCTAAAGGCTGTGTATTCTAGAATGATTCTTAGTGCAAGATGGATTCACGTTACATTATTTCTCAAAGACAAAAGCCCACAAGAGCCTAAGGACTGTTGAAATCTGTGGGATTTTTCAATTCTCATTTTCCTAAGCAAATTTCCCTCGCTTCTTTGATCTCTTATCTGGATTGGTGGAGGAGAAACTCGATGCTGGGATATTTTATATCCCGATATCATATTGGGTTCAGGATCTCTGGGAACTGCAATTTCCTAGGACTCCTTAACTGAACTCCTCAAAGGTATTCTGTCATTGGTGTCTTTGCTGAGCAAATAGCTGTCTATATTAATTCAACCCAACATGCTTCTAAAGTAATAAAGAACTTGGGATGTGAAATCATTGTCCTTGACACTTAGCAAAGCAAAACAGAAGAACAATTTGTTTAAAACAAAGCAGTGAAGGCTCTGGTGACATATTAGAGACACACGCATTCTTTATCCAATGATCTTTTATCATGTATAATTCACTGCCTCGTGTGTTTGGTTTATAATTTCAAGGTATTTTGTTGCTTTTACCTTAGCTAACTATAAAATAGCCAAGGAATCACCTGTGACAACCAGAATCACATTGTAATTGGGCACAAGATTTTCATGCAAAAGTTGCCAGCTTATTTCTTTTATACTATTAGAGGAAACTTAGCACAGTGACATAGCCTATATCTTGAATGGAATGGAAAAGATATCAAGTTCAATCTTAGACATTTCCACATAGCGTTGAATATCTGTTGGAAGAATCTGCCAGTCAATCTCAGCCAATGGTGTGACTGAGTAGAAGCCAGCTTTCCATATCGCAAAGTATTCATCTGTATTTGAACAATGGTTAGCTTTGTATGACCCAAGATCTGGTTCGCAAAGCAGAATAGGAAAGAACATCCTTGTGTTCACATAACTTCCTATGCAAATAAAATATACACAATGATTTGTTTCATATACCATGCTAAAACATTGGTTGGGTTCCAACAATGTATTGACTCATTGGACAGAATCTTCTCCAAACTCACCAACTACTGACTTCATGAACACATCCATGCAGATTTCTTGGCAGCAATGTTGAAGTAGTTTGCCATTATATGAAGAGTGAGGGTGTCAAAAAAAAAAAAAAACCTTTAACTTATGTCCTTAACATTTCCTAATGCCAAGTACTAAATAGGGCTGACCCTGCATAACTTTCACTCTAAAAAAATATTCAGAACTCACATTTTAATCTAATGTAGCACATTGTGTAAACAAATTCTAATTATTTTTTTAATCTATCTTTGTCTAGAATGATATGGGGAGAATTATAGACAATAAGTTGAGAAGAAGTTGTAAGCAAAGTATTTTTAATGACTTTCATCATCTTCTTCATCATCCATCCTTCTGGCTTCTTTCTTTAGGCTCTCAAGGACCCAACTTTGGCTGCTCGAAAGGACTTCCAGAGGGAGGCAGAGCTGCTCACCAATCTGCAGCATGACCATATTGTGAAATTTTATGGTGTCTGTGGTGATGGAGATCCACTCATCATGGTCTTCGAATATATGAAGCATGGAGACTTGAATAAGTTTCTGAGGTAAAGGTTAAATATACAATGAGTTGTAGAAAGGAAAGAATGGAAATTGATATGAGGGATAGGGCATGACTGCAAATATCTTGACTTCATCAAACTGCATATGACTATTCTAAAGAAAAGAAGGAGTAGGGGTGACATGATAGCAGTATTTCACTATTTGAGGGGCTGCCACAAAGAAGAGGGGGTCAACTTATTTTCCAAAGCACCAGAAAGCAAGACAAGAAACAATGGATGGAAAGTAATCAAGAAGAGAAGCAACCTGGAATTAAGGAGAAATTTCTTAACAGTGAGAACAATTAACTAGTAGAACAGCAAGCCTTCAGAAGTTGTGGGTGCTCCATCACTGGAGGTTTTTAAGAAAAGACTGAACAGCTACTTGTCTCAAATATTATAGGGTCTTCTGCTTGAGGTTGGACTAGAAGACCTCCAAGGTCCCTTCCAGCTCTATTTTGCTTGATTGGTTCCCATTATCCAACCACAGTGAAACTGCTTTTCTTCTCCTTGAACCATCCATGGTACTGTGGCTATTAGGCAAATATGGGACTAACCTAACACAAATAGTCATGTCCTTCACCTTTACAGACATGAGAAGAAAGTCTGTGGTATTGTCACACTAAGCCAATGGCAGCTGTATGTGGCTAGTTAGAAATTAGAACTTAAGCCAGGGAAACAGACCAGAAGGTTCAAACTAAGGACCAAAACCATGGAGAGCTCAACTGTCATTCAGGGAGCATTTCAGACAAAGAAATTCATAAAGCTTTCACTGCCAAAAAAATCTCATGACAAACTGGATAGGTGGGACTACTTCAAATAATACACTATCAAGAAATTTATCCTAGCTGTATTTTTGGCAGCATCAATTTATGGCAGCTCTTCACTAAATCTGAGATTCTCAGTACTAGCACTGATCTTTCCTTCTAGCTTTATCCTCCTGCCTCCTGGAGATATATGGATCTGCATAAGGATTTTAGCATGCACTGGCTTGATACTTTCTTATACTCTGGCCTTAGTTGGCAATTAATTTGCCAAGAAGATCCAGCTACTACAGGACTTGACAATTTTCCTTTTCCAACTCTAAAATAAAAATAAAAATAATACGTACTTACTTACTTACTGGGATCTGCTCGCATAATCCACCGATACATCAACACAGTCCTAAACACTTGGGAAGTGTTCGACTAGTGATATGAAACCCAGCATAGTTATCTCGTTTGCTGTGTATACTGTCATTTTTGTGTATAATAATAATAAATAATAAATTAGTAATAATAATAATAATAATAATAATAATAATAATAATAATAATAATA